CATCGCACGACGGTTTAAACAAATCCCAGCGATGACAACTGATGTTGAAACCGAGTGGCAGCTGTTCAAGGGAGGCCTACCCGAGGCTGCATCCGAATGCTGCGGATATAAACGGGTTGGCGTGCTGCCTGGAGGTCAGCAAAGATCTTCATGGTGGACACGAGAGGTACAACTGGCAGTTAAAGAGAAGAAGGCTAAATTTAACAAATCGCTTGGAAACAAGGAGCCTTCGACTTGCGTGTGATATGTCGATTGACCAAAGACGGCCTTTTGGCATTTTCTGAAACTGATCTCCAGCACTCGTTAGAACGGTTCGCTGCCGAAGCAGTGGAGCTGGTGGAGATCATACGATCATTAATCGTGGGCCATTTCTGAAAAGCTTTGATCCCGGACACAATTACCTGAAATGATCCTTCTGAGACGAATCGCTTGGCTCACACGTCGTTCTGACATGGTTCTTAGTACGTTTGTCCGAGAGAACGCCTTGGTGTGCATTCGTTGCTTCTTCAGACTGAGACGTCACAACTGCGACGGTTTGGGCACGTGTTGCGAATGCCTCCAGAAAGGAAGGTGAAGCAGCCACTAACGGCCCACAGTGACCCACAGCCAACAGATGACCTTGTGGACGTCCAAGATTAAGCTGGACAGAGTATACTGAATGACTCTGTTCTAGACTGCGGTTGTCATCTGCCTGATGAGATCAAACGGCAGTACAGGATAAGGAACATTGGAAGCAATGTCCGACGAATCTGGGCCCACGAGTTGAAAGGAGCAGCGGTCACGGAAATTGAATTGAATGATAAGCATGCACATTTGTCACATTTATCGTTTGTCACCACAGAAAGGTCGGTTAAGGATATGAGTGCAGCGACGTAAACCAATCGCATATTCAAAGGAGACTGCTCTAAAAAAATCATATTCCGATAATAAGCCATCATAAAATGATTGAATGGCCGTCGTTGTTGTTTTTTCTAAAGAGAATATGCGGACACATTAAATTGGGATGCAACAGAAAGTAAACGATGATAGAATGCGCTGAGGAAATTCGATGGACGAAGATAGATAATAATCGAATAAACGGGAAGCCTATTGCACAGGTTTCAGTCAAAGACCTTCACCAAGCAGTGGATCGAAAAAAGATGACAGTGCCTCAATCAGGAGAAAATTAGAGATGCTCCATGAATGTGAAAATGTATGCGTAAAGAAACCCTTGGTCTTACTGTATTAAAATCTGGACATAGTTCACACTAAGTAACTCTCACTTGTGTAATACGCTGCTGTTTTATTATTTTTATTTCTTCAAGCGGCTTGTTAGCTTATACTTTCAACTAGAGAGCATATGTTATTGTTATTGCCGTTACCACCGAGTCGATTTTGTAAAACTGAACTATCAGAAAGAATATTTACTCTTTGCTTCTCTGAAAGCCATCTCCTGTTGTACACTAATATATTGAATCATATTTCTGTTCGGTTTGAATTGCTTCTGTTTTCTGTTTGCCATAAAAACCACAGCTAACAGGGGGCGGGGTACTTGTTACAATGAGCGTGGAACAGTTGTATTTTTCGTCTGTAGTTTTGCTTCAGTCGAGCGAACTGCTGGACCAAAACGTTCAGATTTCAGGCAGTGGGATACGAAAGGCAATGTTGAGACGATTCACATGAATTATTAATTTCTGAATATCATTGAACAGTTCACAGCACGATTTGAAGCACTTTTCAAGACCAATTGACGTCATCACAAGTCGTCACATTGCTTTGCAAAGCATACTTAGCCATCAGCTCAACTAGCCTTTAGCCGGTCACTTGGTCATGCATAGAAATATCAGGAATATTTAATGAATTCCGCACATCTGTTCCCATTCGAGCACCTGTGTTAACCTATTAGTCAGTAATTGATGAATGTTAAATTA